ATCCTACTGCCTCAGCCTCCCAAGTAGCTGGGACTACAGGCATGCGCCACCATGTCCAGCTAATTTTTTGTATATATTTTTAGCTGTACAAGTAATTTCTTTCTATTTTTAGTAGGGACGGTGGGGGGGGTGGGTGGCCTCACTCTTGCTCAGGCTGGTCTTGAACTCCTGAGCTCAAACAATCCACCCGCCTCAGCCTCCCAGAGTGCTAGGATTACAGGTGTGAGCCACCCGCCTGGTCAGGATAATCTTTTTGATTAACTCAAAAGTCAGCTAAAATCGGCTAGGGGCCTTAATTATAGTTTCAGAATCCTTTTACCTTTCCCATCTAATGTACATAATCACAAGAGTGATAATCAAATATATTCAGAGATCCTGCCCATACTTAAGGGGAAGGGATTACATAGGGTAGGTATACAGCAGGCTGGGAATCTTGGAAGCCATATCAGATTTCTGCCTACCGCAATAACGTAGACTGACTTATGAGACTATGGGTTTGCCCTTCAAAGTGTATATTTTAAAAGACTGTAATACATTCAAAATTCATACACTGGAAATAATAACAATAGAAACAATGAGAGTATTAAACTGTTGGGCTGGACAGGGTGGCTCATGCCTATAATCGTAGCCTTTGGAAGGCAGAGACAGGAAGATTGCTTGAGGCCAGGAGTTAAAGACCAGGCTGGGGAAGAGGGAGACTTTGTTTCTGCAAAAAAAAAGAAAATTTTTAAAAAATTAGCCAGGCATGGTGGCGCACGCAATAGTCCCAGCTACTCGGGAGGCTGAGGCAGGAGGATCCCGTGAGCCCAGGAGTTTGAGAGTGTGGTGAGCTGTGATGATGCCATTGCCCTGTAGCCTGGGCAGCAGAGTGAGACCTTGTCTCAGAAACAAAAGCAAAAACAAAAAAACCCCACAAAGTTCTTGAAACTTGATGTTGGGGTATAAAAAAAAAGTATTAAACTATTGGGGCTATTTTTAAGGCTGTGATGTCAATCCTATAATAAGTCTATTTTCAGGATGAAACTATCATTTTGATTAAAATTTCTTCTATTATTGGCCTAGTGGATTTTAAATTGAGTTGGCAGAATGGGTGGATTTCAAATTAAATTCCACTTGAGCAAATATAAAAGCAGTTATTCATTTCAGCATTTTCCTCTTTATTATTTTTATAAGTGGAGATTTTTAATAAACCCATTTTGCTGTATTCTTCTTGAAATGTGCCACATTCTTTCATATCCTAGTATTGCTAGGGTTGCATTTATATATTATCACAGCAAGTGACCCAGAATTTGATAGTTCCTTTTCTTAGGCTTGGATATATGATACTTTGAAAAGAAGCTATTACTGAAAGAAAATAAAGGACTATAATTAAATATAACAGCGAGTGGAATGCGAATTCAAACTTAAGAAAAGCTTCTAAAGAAAGTGTTCTGTTGATTTTAAAAGGGTCTTCTAAAAGTAAGATTGGCCATTTTAAGTAGCCTGAATAAAACATTAGCAAATACCCTGTAGGTTATATCCTGCTTTTTTTTTTTAGAAATGTACTAACTGATATGATTCTTTTCCAGATATGAGAACTGGATTTGCTTTTTGAGTTAGAGAAAGGAGAAGAATTGTGGTTTTTTTTTTTTTTTGAGACAAGGTCTCGTTCTGTTTCCCAGGCTAGAATGCAGTGGCGTTATCATAGCTCTCTGCAACCTCAAACTCCTGGCCTCAAGCAATCCTCCCGCCGCAGCCTTCCAAAGTGCTAGCAGTACAGGCGTGAGCCACTGTGCCTGGCTGGAATTGTATTTTTATTAGAATTTAGGTTAATCATGGGCTTCTAATCATGGTAATGGCTTCAGTGATTGTAAAAAGACTAGAAAGCCTCAGATATAACTCACCAAGGATTTTTATAGTCTCCTTTATTCCATTATGAAAGGAATGCTAATGGTTATGGAGAATTTTTGTATGGCCCTACCTTTAAGTTCTTTTACTACTCCTACCCCTCAAATCTACTCTGACATTGTCTTCAGTTAGGCAACTGGTTTTTCTAGAGGTCTGCCTTCAGCTCCTTTCCAACCATATACAGGTTGGACTTGATATATGAAGATGGTGTTACTAACCCATCTCCTCGGGATGCACATTTCGAATTGTGATTTTTTTGTCTTTTTATTTTGAAATAGTAGGGCATATTATTTAACTACATAGTAATATTTAAGTAAGTTATCAATGTAGGTCAATGGATAGTACATTGCATTTGAAAGCAAAAGACCTGAGGTTTAATACTAGTGTTATTAATTAATAGCTAGTGGTATTCAGTGGAGCAGTAAACCCCTGAAATGCTCTGTTGAAAGGGTTCTGGAGTCACAAATCTTGGGATCAAATGAGCATTTTAAGAAATGCTGCACATTATTCACAATAACCAAGAAGAGGAAGCAACCTAAGTGTCCAGCAATGAGCGAACAAATAAAGAAAATGTGGTATATATACACAACGGAATATTATTCAGCCATAAAAGAAGGAAATTTTGTCATTTTCGACGACATGGATGAGCCTGGAGGACATTATGCTAAGTGAAATAAGCCAGGCACAGAAAGATAAATATGAGTTTAACTTTTGTGACCATGCATGATCTATCTTATATATGGGATCTAAAAAAGTCAAACTCATAGAAACAGAGTGTAGAATGATGGTTGTCAGAGGCTTGGGGAGTGGTGGAATTGGGTGATGTTGGTCACATGGTACAAAATTTCAGTTGTATATGAGAAGTAAGTTCAAGAGATGTATTGTACAACATGGTGACTATAGTTAATAATAATGTAATCTATACATGAAAATCTCTGATAACAGATTTTAAGTGTTCTCACTATATAAAAATAAGTTTCTGAGGTAATGTGTATGTTAATTTGCTTGATTTATGAAATATGTATACAAATGTATACATAGTTCAAAATATCATGTTGTACACCATAAACACATGCAATTTTTATTTGTCAATTTAAAAAACTTAAAAAAGAAAGAAATGCTGCATACTGTTTCTTTGTCCTGGAGATACACGGTGCATATTAGCATATTAAAGCCTCTGAGAAGTCCTGTAATAAAGATATCCAATAAGCTGGGTTTAATCAAGTATTTCCTGTACCTCTTTTGACCACAGAATCTATTTTGACTGTAATATTGTCTGGAATTAGTAATTCACAAAAAGCCCTTTGGAAAACATTGCTATAATTGAAATCATCCAAATCTCCCTTAAATCCAGATCTTCTAAGCTTTCCACACTTTGTATACTTCTAGAACTATACTTGCTCTCAGCCAAAAGACCAAGAAATTATATTTTCATTTAAATTTCTTATCTATATACATTCCTGTGCATGTCCAAGGGTCCAAAAGTTCAGTCAAGGATGTTCTGCAATTCTTTGTTCTTTTAAGTATAATTATATTGTATGCAAACCTGGCTTTCCTGAAAATAAAACTTTACCCATTAATTGCCTTTTATTTATTTATTTCAGGGGAACACTATTTAATCTCTTGGTAATTTTAATTAGTGAGCCTCAGATTCCAAAATCTTGTCCCATGTTTGATATCCAGTTGGTGGCTGATTCGACTTTAGTTGAAATGTCTTTTGATGCTAAGGTGAGATGAAAATTTTGGGGGTAAACTATAATTGTTGTCTTTTAATGTGGACCATGACATTGTAGAATATATAAATGTAATTAAATCAAAGAGTAAATGTTTTTTCATTAAACCCATTAGATAACTATTCTGTCAATATTAATATATTCATTTTATATGTTTTAGAGTATACTAAGGAAAATAATTAGCATTCTTTATAAATTAGATAAATCTGTTTATGTTCCTTTCTATACAAAATATTGATTTATATGTAATTCCATAGTAGGAGTCTAATTGGGGTGAAAAATCTCTGTCTTAGAGATTTTAGGGTTAGTTCTCATGTTTTAGTTTATCATTTCCCTACCTGTATGAGGAGTGTAAACTCTCAGTGAGAATTATTTGTTTTTCTAAGGTTGTACTAAAACATGAGAAACACCAAACTACCTAGAAAGTATGTTTTCTGAGAGAATAAATCAGTTTATCATTATTTTATTTTGAGCCAGGCCGATAGCTTTTTTTTTTTTATAAAGGATGGGTCATGATTTTTTCTTAAACAATCAAAGTTATGTTTCAGAGAACTCATTTATTGAACATCTATTATGGGCAAACAGTGTGCTAGGTGGTAGGGTTGAAATAGTAAGTAAACAGACAGAATCTCTGCCTTCATTAATTTATAATCTGCTGAAGGTAAACATTAATCAAATATATCCATGAATATATAGTTACAGACCATATATGGAGTGTCTCCAATACCACTTTCAACGGTGGAATGACTGGGTTAGTGATTAAAGAGTGGGATGGTTTTGGAGCATTTCAGGTTGCTAAAATAAATAAATGAACACATAAAAATACAGAGTGAGATGGAAGCAAAACAGGCAAACAGAGCCGTTAAGAAGCTAGTGCAGTAGTAGTCTAGGTGGGGAATGACATGGGCCAGAAGGAAGCCTTCCTTTGCTCCCAAATGAGACTAGCCCTCCTTTTTAGAGCCCTCTTAACATCCTATACCTTTCTTTCATAGCCTTTGTTTCAGTTTATAATTATGCCTTTGTTTCTTTGATTGTTAGATTGCTATTTGTTCCCCAACTGGATTGTATAGTCCATGGGGGCAGGTACCACGTCTGCGTCGCTTTCCTGTGTATCCCCAACACCTAGCACAGTGTGTGATGCATACTGGTTGAATAAATAAATGAAGAAAAGAAAAAAAGGAATGGTAGTTGTAAAAAGGATAGATTTCCAGAAGTTTTTAGGAAATTGACTTGATAGGTTGATGTGAAAATAAAGTGTGAAGATTAGAATATGACCTTTAGATTCTGGCCTGAGAGTTAGACAAGAATTACAGGAAAAAGAGTAGGTTCAAAGGAGAAATACTGAGTTTGGTTTTAGATTTGTTGATTTGATTTGCCTATGGTATTTCCATTTGAAAATATCTTGTGGGCAGAATGGATAGGTCTGGGTTTTATGTTTTCTTGTTTTTGTTCAAGCTGGGCATAAGCCTACATTACCCAGAGGATCTCTCACCTCCACTCAGGGGAGCATATTTCTACATTCTTAACACATTAACTGCCATGTGAGTTGTATTTAACTCACGCTAGTTTTGAGCCCGGGGCCTCGTGAAGCATATGTAATTCACACTTCTCTTTACCTTGGGAGCTACAAGAACAGTTTTTCAAGTTGCATACAACTCCTGCACAGAAAACAATAAAAAATAACAAATTTTTAATTAAATTAGGATTGTTTTTATTCTATTTTCGTAATAAAACACTACGTACGGCCCCAAGGGAAAAAAACTTTTTTTTCTAGTGTGCCAGTCAATGTGTTAAAAGCAAGTAGGGCTGTTGATCTGATTAATCTTGTAAATCAAGTATGCGATTTTTTGCGTTAGTATTCTGTGGCCTATCGTATCTTTTTTTCTTGACTCACTTTTGGAGCATTATTAAAGGTATAGTCTTTATGAGAGCCACTTTCTTGAGAATGATCAAACCAAATGGAACAGGAAAATGGACTACACTAACTATATTTTCAGTTAACCAAAAATTCTAAGTACCTAAAGGGAATCAAGAGAAATTACTATTTTCTGTCTCAGTCTATGATACTGTATTGATTATTCTTGAAAATTCTAGTTACAGAAGCTTATCCTGGAATATACAGATACAGCTACAGCACTTTTATATGAGATACTTCTTGTCTTTCAGCAGGTACAATATATTTGTTTATTATATATATATTATGTGACTACATATTATATGACTATTATGATATATGTATGTTATATTTTATATAGTATATAATTAATAATATAACAAAAATGCTTACATTAGAGATGGTCTCCAAAACTGGTTGATTTAATCGACACTAATTTTGCTCTCAAGTGCTCATCTGGTTTATTTTCCAAAATACTGAGTTTTAAAGATTTGATTAATCAGGATAAAAATGTATTTGAGAATGAATACTCTTTTAGATACAATTTGAACTTCATGAATATAACCTGTTTATTTCCTTGAGTCTTTTAGGGAAATCTTGGATTGGGTTCCACCAAGTTTGCTATTAACTGGATGATGTCCTTTCTACAAAGTTGTCCTCCCATAGTAAGTACCTAGCAGCAAAAACAAAATCACCACTCAAGCCTAATTAAACAGATGCTCTTGTGCTTAATTAATAAAACACAAATTTTCTCTATGGCATAGTCAAGTTTTATCAATCAGAGGCAAAATGTAAATTTGACAGCTTTATTATTTAACTAAAATGTTTTTACATTTTGGACCTGAATGTTTAAGTTGCTGAAATGATATCTTAAATATGATATTAATTGCGTGAAAAACTCTAAGATATATGTAGAAACAGAATATTCAATTATTGGCTGTATAATTAAGTAAAAAGATTGACATTTACCTTAAATAGTCAGTGCATGTAACTCGGGATCACCTGTGCACTCTGTCCCGGCAGCCACCATCCTGGTCCCTATCATTTCTCTGTTTGACAGTACAAGCTCACCTCAATGCTCTGTTCCTGTCTTCCCACCAGATGATAGCTCAAGGGATCTATTTAAAATAAGGATCTGATTGTCATCCCTTGCTCTACACTCTCAACAGCTTTTCCCTTTGAATAGACTAGAGTGCAAGGCTCTGCATGTTATGGCCCTACAGCCTACCCTGGTCCCTACCCTGCCAGCTATGTGGGTCTCTTCCTCACTGTCCCCTCCCCACTCCAACTCAACTCCATCACAGGACTTTTCCCATTGCCTCTGTCTCTGTCCGAACGCCTTTCCTTCCCTCTCCCACCTGGTCAAGTCCTACTCATCCTGCAGGCCTCAGTGCCCTTCCAGGGGTGGAGCAGCAGCAGATGACACTCTGAGCCCTCTGATGAGTCAGCTTCCTCGTTACAGGCACACTTAGTGCACAGCACAGTGTGCTTGCCTCTCCTGTACAGGACTTGTCGCTGTTGCGGTTTACGTTTGTTTGTGTTATCTGCCCTGTTGTAGCCACTAGTGTCCACACATGTTCTGGCTCTCTCCTTCAAGGCACATGGTAGGATTGAACTTCCCTCTCCTTTTTTTTTTTTTTGAGACAGAGTCTCACTCTGTTGCCCTGGCTAGAGTGAGTGCCACGGCATCAGCCTAGCTCACAGCAACCTCAAACTCCTGGGCTCAAGCGATCCTACTGCCTCAGCCTCCCGAGGAGCTACAGGCATGCGCCACCACGCCCGGCTAATTTTTTCTATGTATTTTTAGTTGTCCAGATAATTTCTTTCTATTTTTAGTAGAGATGGGGTCTCGCTCTTGCTCAGGCTGGTCTCGAACTCCTGAGCTCAAGCAATCCACCTGCCTCGGCCTCCCAGAGTGCTAGGATTACAGGCGTGAGCCACTGTGCCTGGCCTTTCCCTCCCCTTTTGAAATTAGGTGGGTCTCTGTTCTTGCTTTGGCCAATGAAATGTGAGCGGAGGTGGCCTGTGTCGCTTCTTGGCAGAAGCTTTCAGAGCCAGAGCGTGCCTCCTTGGATTCTCTCTTCCTTCTGGGTTCGAGACAGCAACATTCCACGTGGTGGCTGCTCCACCAGCTGATGGCCCTGAGCAACTGCCGTGACCAGAGCCCCTACTAACTCATCAGGGACATTCAGTGTGAACAAGCAAACCTTTGTTGTTTTAAGCAAAACACTGGTGTTTTAGGGGGTTTGTTACCATAGCATAACCTCGTCCATCGTGACTGATACACTTTCTCTTCCAGCAGACCGCAAGTGCCATGAGGGTAGGAGTTATGTCTGTTGTGCTAGGCACACAATAGATGTTCAATAAAGTTAGATGTTCAATAAAGTATCTGCTTAATTCATTCTTCTAAAGGCTTTATCCCTTAAACTCTTCTCACCTCCCCAAACTTATTTCCAATTCAGTGTATGTTGATTGAATGTATGAATACATGAATGAAGGGAAACTATCTTCAAAAGGTAGTAAAATCCAAACTAAATTTTCATTGCTAATGGAGGACGTGACATGAAGTAATGTATTATCTTTCTATATATGAACATGCCTCTGTGGTTCCCTGCTTTGAGCTGTTTTTCTAGAGTGATGCTGAGTCTGTCTTATGGAATCTAGATTCTCTTGTCAGATCCCTGTGACATGTTTACTAAAAGCTGGCTGAGGCCAGGGGGTACGCTTGTTAGTAGTACAGCCAGCTGCCTTGTTCAGAGATTGAGCCCATAAACTTAGCTCCTTCAGCAACACACAGACCTCAGCTGGTCTCAGACTAACTTCAAGGAATGTTTTAAAGTTATAGTCACTCATAGTGACGGAAGTTCTTACGTGCAAGATGAGAGACCCCGGCTTTTTCTATGCAGTGGTTGCAGACCCTATCATATGAACTGACACGTGGTAACCTGGGGTCCTAAGGACTCCAAGTAACAGGGAAGATTCTTTATCAACCTCTAGAGCTGGTTCACCAAAGGAACTGAGTATGAGGCCAGTCCATGACCATGAAGTGTGTTAAGATGAAGGGTGGGAAAAGGCAAAAGGACCATCAGCCCTGTTGAAAGTTTCAGTATCAACCCAGTTCTAAGCATTATGGACAGACACAAGACTATTTGAGAGAAATTTGCAAATTTGCATGTACCTGCATGTCGCTCAACTCTGATTATCTTACTTGGTTAGAGCAAGGTGCTAAAGTCTCAAAATTTTAATCCCATTCAGTTGTAAGAGTCCGACAAAAATAAATAAATAAAAATAAAAATGTAATCCCTATGTGGGCTACTTAGCATTGCTTTGTTCCACTGCATAGACTCTCTAACTTCAAGCTGTGTTTGCCAGACAATATATGTTTAGTCAATGTATGTAATGTTTGGTCAATATATGTAAATGGATCTGGACTGGGAAAAACCCACTTCAAACCACTTGCTCTACTTGGGAAGAGTAGGTAGCAACACATGACAGTAGAAAAGGCGACACATTCTCACTGATGCCAATTTAACGGGCATGCAGGGTGACCTGCTGGTTAGAGCTTGCAAGGGCACCAGCATTCTTTTCTGTTTTTCACAGTAACCTATGTTTATGGATAATGGTTTGAAAATACCAGAACCAAAAGAAACAAACAGAAAACAACTTATGGAACCCATTGTTCTTCTTTTCGATTATTTGGCTTTGTTGTGAATAAGACCTTTTTTGGGCAGAAGCAAGAATCCAATAACTTCACGTTATGGCTACCCTTTCCACTTTAATTTCTCCCTGAGAAATGACACCAGAAGTGCCGCTGACGAACCCCAGCTAACGGTGACATCGACATCACTCGCTGGTGTCAGGCCTGGTTTGCTTTGCTTTCTCAGAGTAGTGTTTTTCAAAGTGTGGTCCAGGGAACAAATCCATCAGGATTGTCTGTGGTAAATACCTGGAGGGCGGAGCCCAGTATTCTGCATTTTAGTGAATTGCCTGGGTGATTTTATGCATACTAAAATTTGAGAACCACTGCCTTGTAGGAACCTTCTCTCTGGGCCACTTGTACCTGTAGAAAAGAAGATAAAGCATCTTCCCTACTTGTATTAGGCCGTTTTGCGCTGTTATAAAGGAACGCCCAAGACACTGGGTAATTTATAAAGAAAAGAAGTTTATTTGGCTCACGGTTCTGCAGATTGTACAAGAAGCATCATACCCACATCTGCTTCTGGTGAGCGCTTTAGGGAGCTTCCAATCAAGGCGTTAGGTGAAGCGGGAGCAGGTGTGTCACCTGGTGGGAGAAGGAGCAAAGAGAGGGAGGAGCTGGTGCCCGGCTCTTTGAAACAGCCAGCTCTTGCATGAACTATTAATAATAAAGGGAGAACTCACTCATTATGGAAGGGAGGGCACCAAGCCATTCATGAGGGATCCGCCCTCATGACCCAAACGCCTCCCACCAGGCCCCACCTCCAATCCTGGGGATCAAATTTCAACCTGAGATTCGGAGGGGCTGAACATCCAAGCCACATCACTACTGGAGGGGCCTGTAGCCTTTATGAGTTCCCCTGCCATCCCCAGTCCTGCTTACGATATTCTCTTTCTACTTCAGAGCCAAACTTCTTTGAAAGTCACTACTGGTTCTGACCCTGCTTGTAGGGGGGCAACTGGTAAACCCAAAGTGATCTATGATCTGGTGCTCTTTGATGTCAAAAGACAAAATTAGAACAAATTTAGTTTTAAAATCTGAATCGGCTTTATCTGTGATTCTAGAATACAATAAGTGTTCTAATGAGCTGAACAGAAGGGGTTGGCTTTACAGACAGAGAAGGGCTGAAGAAAGCAAAAGTAAGGGCCGGGCACGGTGGCTCACGCCTGTAATCCTAGCACTCTGGGAGGCCGAGGCAGGTGGATCCTTTGAGCTCAGGATTTCGAGACCAGCCTGAGCAAGAGCGAGACTCCCGTCTCTACTAAAAAATCAGAAATTAGCTGGACAACTAAAAATATATAGAAAAAATTAGCCAGGCATGGTGGCACCTGCCTGCAGTCCCAGCTACTCGGGAGGCTGAGGCAGAAGGATCACTTAAGCCCAGGAGTTTGAGGTTGCTGTGAGTTAGGCTGACGCCACGGCACTCTAGCCCGGGCAACAGAGTGAGACTCTGTCTCAGAAAAAAAAAAAAAAAAGAAAGCAAAAGCAAGGAACAAAGTGCATTAGTCATTTGTAAGGCAGGGACAGGGAGAGAGAACAATAGAAAAATAACTGACTAATTTCAGGCCACTTGTCTTGTGTAAAGATTAAAGCAGAGGGAACTTCATTATTATGCCGATTAAAGATTTTAAACTGGCCTGTTTGGGAAACTGGCTGTTATCTGTGTCTGAAGGTCATACAACTTAGTTTGGGTTTGGTGACAGGGAACTTTAGCATAGGTGACTCCATTGTGATTTTTAGTCTCATCTGTTGCGGCCTAGTGCAGAAGCTTAGTTTAAAATAACGGCCTCCTATAATTTTTATTTGACACTGAGTACTATTTCTTTTTCTCTTCTTTTCTTTTTTTTGAGATAAGGTTTTCTCTGTTGCCCGGGCTACATCACGCTGCAACCTCAAACACCAGGGCTCAAGCCATCCTCCTGCCTCAGCCTCCCAACTAGCTGGGACTGCAGGCACGCACCACCACACCTGACTAATTTCTTTTGATTTTTGGTAAAGATGGCTTCAATGAGAAATAGTGCAAAATTGCTCAGTGCACTGGTGTAAGAGCAGTGAGGGCTTCAGTCTAGATTTGTAGCTGAGGCTCCAGCTGAAATAGTCGCATGCAGCCTACATGTAACTGCACTTTCCTTGTTTAGATTACTTTTGTGGCCAGTATCGTGAAACAAGCGGTGAAGGGGCTTTCGGCTTCATTTCAGCTGCTCAGTCCCTGCCAAGCCGTCCTGTTGTACCAGCAGTTTTACATCCTCAAGAGCTGCCTGCAGTACAGCAAGACTCTAGCTGAGTATATTAGGAATGACTACAGAGAAGAATTCAGGTAAGACAAAAGTCTGAATCTAACCTGCAGTAAAACGCCACTCCTTTCTGATTTTCATGCAAACCCACAACGTGGCCCAATATTTAAAAGATTAGGTGATAGGAATTCTATTTTTGTTTGTAATATTTCACTTTGATCTGAGATAAGGTAGGTTTAGGGGGACCTCTAAGAACCACTGCCATTCGAAGTATATTTCCAGGCCAGAAAAGACTAGTGAAACATCAAACTCTCTTTGAGGAACTGTTTCTCACTGTCTTTATTGTAGCTGCATTTCACAGAAGTAATTATGACTTTAACCTGCTGTGGGTAATGAAGAGTAACAAACTTTATGATAAATTATGGATTGTGAATTCAACTGAGTCAGTGGGAAGAAGCGATTGATAAAGGAGGAACAGTTAATGAACATGGTTATCAGGGGGTTTTGTTTGTTTCATTTACCCCTCTCTTTCAGTAACGGGACACTAAGAAAGGACAGAAGCCAGCCTTGGTGTCATCAGCCAGCCCGTGCTCCTGCCCCTCAGGGGCTCCACTTTTACTCACAGGCTGGCACAGCCATGTTTGTACCTGGCGGGACAGCCCCGCATTAGCACCTGTTAAGGAAGAAGCCCAGGTTGTGTCTGACTTAAGATGCAAGGGTGCAGCAGACATAGCTTTGCCACTAGTTTGGATGGAGACATAAAAGGAAGTGCAGGCATACATTATGGTGTTAGATTGGCTTTTAAAAAAAATTTCAGCCCAATTTGTAGACTATGTTTTTCTTCCATATGGTGTTACACTGGAGGTTGCATTCTGGCTCCCATAAAAGGGATTTATTTGGCTCTGAGTTGATCCAAACAACTCAATTCCCACCCCTTCACACCCCTACCTCCTCACTTAAAAAAAAATTAAGGTAAAATTTGCATAGCATGAAAGTCACCATTTTAAACTGTGCAATTCAGTGGCTTTTAGTATATTTCACAGTATTTTGCAACCATCACCGCTTTCTAATTGCAGAACATTTTCTTCACCCCACAAGAAACTCATTATCCATTAAGCAGTCACATCCTATTGTCTCCTCCTCCCCAGCCCCTGGAAACCACTAATTTCTGTCTTGGTGGATTTGCCTATTCTGGACATTTCCTTTAAATGGATTACATAATACGCGGCTTCTTTCACGTACATTAATGTTTTCAAGATTCCGCACTGTAGCATGTAATCACACAACCCAATTTTTAAAACTTAGTTATAAACATTTAAAAATCAAGACAAATGACAAAAATGGTGTCACGCTCCTAGATGACAATAGTTGTGTGGGGCTGCATGGCAGCTACCCGCTCTGGCGGTTCATCACTGCTCACTTTGCTGCCATCTCCTCCTCTCGCTCCTGCTTACTCTTACCCGACCTCCCTAATTTACATTACACATGGGCGTTTATGTTTGTGACCCTTGTTTTAAACTAGTGATTTTCCAGTTGCTTTGCATTATCATCACCTGAGTAACTACAGGTTAAGCAACCCTAATCCAAACGCCTGAAATTCGAAATGCTCCAAAATCTGAAACTTTTTGAGCACCAACATCATGCTCAAAGGAAATGCTCATCAGAGCATTTTAGATTTCAGATTTTCAGACTAGGGATGCTCAACCAATGAGTATAACGGAAATATTCCAAAATCTAAAAGTCTGAAATCTGAAACACTTCTGGTCCCAAGCATTTTGGATTAGGGATATTCAACCTGTATTAAAAAAAACTGATAGCCAGGTCTCACACATAGAGATTCTGTTTCAGTTTGTCTGAGGAGGGGCCAGGGCAGTGACGTTTTTTTAAGAAGCTCCCCAGGTGATTCTAATATGCACTCAGGGTTGAGAGCCATTCTTTTAAATCATCCAAGGGGGTGAAGGCCTTCTCACCTTTGTCTCGTTCCATGGCCTTTCCTCTGCGTTTACTCAGGCCGTGGGGATGACCCTACTCTTCCCTCTTGACTTGGCCCTAGTCGTCAGCACAGCTTGACCCTTTCATTTCAACTTCCCACTGTGCATTGTCTGAGAAACCAAGAAGCAGGAGCCTCAGCTCATACTGTGGTGAGGACATCCTGGCTTCCTTATTAATGCTTTGATGACTAATGTATTATTCATGAAGTTCACTTCCTTTGCTAAAGTGTTTCAGTGAGCCGAAGGGCACACCTATCAAGCATTTTCTAGGTCAGAAATGAGGGAGATTGGAGGGCTGAAAATGCCAACCAGGTCTTGTGGCTTAGGCTCCCACACCCAACAACCCTACCCAGTGAGTGTGAACGCACCCCTGTGACCAATGTGAAAATTCTTGTATTTAAAGCTGTTTTCTTTTTATAATTTGCAGGTACTTTATTCACATGCCAGCCTTGGAAAAAGGGCTCCCATTGTGTTACCCTATTACTCAACCTACTACTCAACTTTTTCATGAAGTTCTGAAATTGGTTGAACAGAAACAATGTGTAAAATGTTACTAAGAGTACAAAATGTTAATCAGGAGTCAGCTTAATATTTATGAGAACCATTTTTGATTTATTTTATGTCTGGCTATCTGCAAGTCTTATAAACAAAGATGTTATTTGAATGGTCCATCAATGCCTCTCAAAGAAAAGTCTTTCAAGTTTTTTACCTGCTACAAAAACAAAAACAAAACCAAAACTGTCTAAATCCATTCTGAGATAAAATGGTGCTTAAAAACTAGTGTTTCTCCAGAAAAAAAGGTTCCTAAAGACAAAAAACTATAAAGGGAACAGAAGCCCATGGAGAGCAAATGTGGAAAATATAATCTGCTGAGTTTCATTGGTGTAATAATGGTGAGGGCGTGAAGCCACCGAAACATGCCCAAATCAATAGTTGTGGAGAGCACAGAGTACAAAGTGATCATTTGAGAAATGTTGAGCAATAGGATGACACCCTCCTCCACCTGTAAAAATTCGAGTGACAGAAATGTTCATGGAAGGATGAGCAGGAGGACACAGGCTTAGCTGTATGGAGTGTCAGTTTCTCTTTTATCATGTGGACAGAAGCTTGGACTTCCTTCAACAAAATTAAGTGCATTCTGCCACTCTGTTTCAGGTGCCTGTGGGCTAATCTGAGCAGTCTCATAGTGCCGTGAAAGAGAAATCATCCATGAGCAGTTATGGCTCTCCCACAACCATTTTAAAAATGTCTTTATGGCAGTAAACTAAATTCAACAAGTACTTAACTTTGGCATCACTGTGAGCTATCGAATTTGGACTTCTAAGATCACAGGAACTGGGCTCTCCATTCAACTTATCATGACTTGAGGGAGGATCCGAGAAATATCTTACCTCGGAAGAAAGAGTTCCCAAGCCAGATTTGTCTGTGTTGTGTAATGGAGAGAGAATTACACTCACTCAGGACATTTTTTTCCTGGTTCTGACTGAGCTATTTGATAATAATCAGCTATTTGACTTTAAGCAAGTCAGGTCCCCTTTCCAGGCCTCATCTGCTTCTTTCTGGGCTTCCTCTGCTATGAGGAAGGTGGGGCTAGATGGTCTCTAAGTCCTCTTCCAGTTCTAACATTCTCTGCCTGCGACAAGACGCTTAACACTCCAAAATGGAGTCGTGTGTTCCTCTGCTATCCTGGCTCAGTGGATGATTCCACACCGACTCCAAATAATCCTGCTTGCTTTGGACCCAACATTTCCCTTTCACCTGTCGCCAACATCACCCAACAAAGTGTCCAAACCTTCTCTGCCATCACTCAACCAGGATCCAAGTTTTCTCCCTCCATGTTGGGGGCAGAGAGGGGAGCAAAGTTGTGTTCATGAGTGTCATGGGCTGTTAGGTAGGGGATTATTCCCAAGAGATGGTCAATCAAAGGAACATGAAAAGAGGCGAGCATCCCTCCACACGGGACAAACAATGCTCTGGTGAATGGTGGAACCCACAGGATTACAACAAGATCAGCTCAGCTCTGCCTCAGCTTTGAAGCAGCGCCTGGCTCTGGGCTAGTCACAGTGCAGGCTCTCGTGAGAGCTGGGGTTTTCTCTCCCACGTATCTTCTCCCCCAGATTGCCTCTCCTGTCCCACTCCTCTCTTTGCCCTGACATCTTACTTTATTTAATCTCTGGGAACAAAACTCTGTCAGAATGTACCTGAATCTTTTCTTGTAGGGCTAAAGTCAGTGACTTTTGGAGAGCCTTGCTTTTCTTCCGTCTATTATGTATGACTCATGTCTATTGATTTGCAGTCTTCCGGGGGCAGAGGGGAGACCAGAATTAACACTGTGAAGGGTTAACCTACTGTGTTTTTTGTTTGTATTGTTGCCAAACGCAAGATCATTGAATAATCCATCTCTATTAGTGATCAGACACAATTAAGATTTTAACTATTGACCTCAATGGCAAAATAATTATTTTTTAGGAAATCTATTTGTGGAAAAAACTTGAATATAAAAATCACATAAATAACCTTTTAAGAATACAGACGATCGCCAAAAAGATAAGCACACTGAGTTTTCAGGATGAG